CTCTTCTCTCCTTTCTCAGATAGCCTTATTAGGTTCAGCAATACTTTTTTCAGAAAACATTGGGAGTAGGACCATAGTCTCTCTATGGCAGCGGTTCCAAGTAGGAGTTGCAAATTAGAGATCATAATTCTATGTGCAGTGTTTCAGCTGAATTGGATTGGCTAATTTTAGTAGCTTTAAATCTTGCCCTTGAGAATTATTAAAAACAAAATGAGCTTTGTAAACATGACTACTGAACACCACAGTATGCAGGGGGAAATTTTGTGATGCTGTAGGTTTCTCCCAAATCAGATTATGGAGGTTTCATGTTGATATGAGTTGCATAAATTTATAACCATTATCTTCACAAAAAAACATGTAAATGTTCATTTATGGGGTCATTTTGCTTCCAAATGTTGCAAGTGTTTTATTATCCCTCCATGCCTTTGTAAAATGTTTTATTAATCAGATCTTTCTTACTATAATTATCTAACTGCTGTGCATGCTTACACTTTAGTGTTCTGTGAATTTACAGGAAAAGGAAAACCAAACATTTATAATATCAGACACAGGCTTTGAGTGCTAGGTGGCAAATAGCAAGGGGAGAAGTAAAGTGAAGAAAATTAAGTCAAAACCTGTTGTAATCATTTGGCCCCAGGACATATTTAATTTGGTTTTTGTTGCTATTCTATTGTATTACAACATTATTGGAGTTGACTTCATAAGTCAATTGTCACTAAGAAACTGCGTGTTTTATTTAGCGTTATGAGTTTCAGACCTGCCAGAGAGTCAAGGTTTATCAGGGACACTACATTTAATGTTTTTGTTTTCTACATAGCCTAATCCACACTCTAAAACTGAGAACTTAGACAGTGGTCCCCTCAGTCTACCTCTATCTTTAACAGCGTGTATCGATTCAAACTGCTGGTGGTCAAAAGGAAAACAGAACTAGACTCTTGTTAACTTATTCTTAATTGTCATCATTTTGCAGTTATTGGACTACCCATGACCAAATTCAAGTTTTGGTGGTGGTTTTGGTGCTATTCTGGGACATTCAGTCTAAAAAATGAAGAATTTGTATGTGTTTTTAATACACATTGTTAAGAAAAAAAAATTGAAGCTATTCCATCCATTTAATGACTTTTATCGGGTGCATTCTATTTCTTTGCTCAGCCACATGAATAGTAACGGTACTTTCTTTAAAATCTACCACAATTTTGAAATTATTTATTTTTTAGGGGTAGCAAAATCTTTTTAGAAATAGCAAGAATCTAAATTCAGTAGCACTCTGATTTTCTTTTGTCTTGGTTTTCATTAGCTGTTCCATTTCTTGGTTTTAAGATGGATCAAAAATTCCAGAAAAGGCCAAGACAGAACCCAATCCTGAGATTTCCAAGTGACCAGATGGAAGAACTAGAAATCTCACCAAAATGCCTGTCCATTGCCCAATCAGTTTTGCAGACTAGTTCTTGCCAATCCTTACCCAAACCCAGCTGAAATTCCATCTGAAGTCTTTGAAGTCCTTCTGAAAAAGTAATCAAAAAGAGTGACTTGTTAATCACTCGTTAACTCATAAGTGATTACTTGAAGCCTTATATTGTCACTTGGTTAAACAGTCAATAAGGCTGTTTCCATTTTCCTTGACGTTAGTGTTTTGACATTTGGGATTCTCAGAACCCAACATCAGGATCTAAATATAAATAACAGCTTTTTTTTTTTTTTTTTTCTCCTGGCAAAAGAGTCATGTATTTTTTCCATAATTATCTTCACAATGTTTAGACTTAAAACATTCTGAGTTCAACAACTGTATGTCAAAGCTATCTTTGATTGTGCAATGGTAGAACAGCGAGGGCTTTTAGGGGATGGACACGACACAGAAGCAGGGGAAGCAAAACCAGTACAGAGTTGCCCTGATCCAACCCTTTCAATTATGGTTTCATTTAGTGATAAGCTGCCCAAAGAAGAGAGAAAGACATTGTTATGGAGAGCCATAAGTTTTAAGACCCCTTTTTTTGGCTTTGATTTTAATAGATGTTATCTGATATCACTCAAATGTAATAGATGTTATCTGATATCACTCAAATATAAGAGGCAAGGGCAGAAAAAGAGGGTATAAGGCTGAGTCATCAGGCAAACATGCCAGCCTTCCTGCCGATCAGAAGAATTCCTCTGAGGTCAGCCACATAAATACTCCATCTGTATCAACAGCCCAAGAGAGACCCAAGAGCACATGGAAAGGGCACAGGAAGGACCTGCAAATTGAAAATGGCTCCTTTTGAGACCTGTCAATACCTTCTCATACAAAGCACCACATCAGTTCTGGGGAAGACAAAAACATAGAAAGGAGTCCACAACTGATGACAGCAGTTGTTAGAGGCAGCATCTTTTTTATGAAACAGTGAAGAGAGCATGAATGCTGAGCAGATGTGATGGTGGTTTTGCAAATATGGAAGTTATAGAAAAAGCATGTGGGCTCTTATATTTAGCCTTTTTTATAATACGAGAAAGATGGTGTGCCAATGAAATCGAAAGGCAGCAGATGTGAAACAAATGGAAATATTCTCAGAGGTCCTGATTAACTTGAGGAACTCGCTGACACTGGACGTCACTGAGGTCAACAGCTTAAACGCAGGAAAATTCAGAAAAAAAAGTGAAACCCCTGGTAGCTACTCTCATGTGTAGCTCCAAGGACTCCCTATTCTGCAGAGTGCATCTATTCCGCTTAGTATCTGAACAGCAAATTGATTAAGATGTTCCTCTTAATATAAGTAAGCAAGATCGTGTTTGCAGAATGGGATTTTCAAGTAGGATCAAAAACACACTTTAAAAATTGTTCTAAAAATGGCAAAATTATCTGTGATGACTGTTTTCAGCACTTCGCTATCAAACAACACATTGGAGATTGCTGTTGGAAATTTTATTCTGATTTCCTAGGGCAACCCTTTTCTTCCTATGCTATTGGATTTCAGGTGGAGAAGTGTTTCTGTTGCCCCTTGCGTGAGTCTCTATTATCAGGCTGGCTAACTGCACAGACATTTACTAAAATATTAAGAAAAACAAGGGCTGAAATCTATGTTTAATCTTCCATCTGTCTGCAGATTGAAGAATAAAGTAAAAATTTAAATGAGCTCACCAAAAATAATGAAGTCTGGCTGAAAACCATCTGGGCAAGAACAGAGTTTAAAATCTGGAGTTACTCTGAGTACTGAATCTGATTCCAGTAAAACTTCAGTACAATTCCAGCAAAAATCCAATTTCCCTGCTGTTGTTTTCTCTGGGAACTACTTTTTAAAACCGGTTGCACCGACGCCAGCCCTTCCAGAAAATGGTTTGAAGTGGATATAAATAAGGATAAGATTTTGACCACCATTTTCCCTTTAAAATGTCCTGATAATTGGTGCAGGCTTTATGAACACAAGAAACAGTTGATAGTCCCCCAAGTGTTTTTGTTTATCCAAAAGCTCATATCAAAGGAAATGAAAACAAGAACTAGTGTCTAAAAACTAATATAAATAACACCCAGCTGCAAAACAGAACAACAGGGGGTTGTGTTTCAGTCAAATCTGGGCCTCCAGATCACAATAAAGAGTCACTGCCCTAAGATTAGGCACATGTTTCTTTGAGACACTGTTTACTGCTGAAACTTCCCAATGGAGGCTCTTGCTCCATGAGAAGGATATTTACTAGTTTGTTGCAAAAGGAGCAGATAGCAGAGATCCATCCAAAGGAGATAATACTGAATGATGCTAGAACCAATGCAGAAGGAGCACAGGTGCTGACTTACGTAAAATGTTTGTCATCAGTCTGAATTGAAGGATATATATGACCAAAGAGGTAAGTTCTGTGTAGTTTATCTGGATTTATGTACAAGAATAACTTGACTAGGACAAAGATCAATGTTAAATCCACAGTGTGTCAAAAATATTTGGATGTATCAGCGGTACTTAAAAACATACTGCATGTAAAACCCCATATTTACCTATGCAGAGGAGAAAGTTCTTTGTAAAGCAAGTTGATCCGACAAATACTTCTGCCAAGTGGATCCCTTAGCTAATATTGAGCAATGAATTGGTCTCAAGAAAGTCCCATTAACATGATAAAGAACTCATTTTTGATGGCCACAGTACATGAAACTACAAGGAAGCACCCCCCAATAACTGCAAATCAGTATATTGTTCAGTAGAGATTATAGGGTGAAATGTTCCAGTAAATTGTGAAAATATTAGCAGACATAAAAGTGTATTAAACAGGAAAGAAAAAAGAGAAGGGAAAAGTCTTTTTTTTAATGTTATGATCTCATAGCCAAGGGAGCAGTGTAGTAAGTCTTTCAGTAATAACAATCAATGAAATGTTTGTGAAAAAACATTTGACATGTTGTAGGTCAAATGACAAAACCAACACAGAGTGCAGGAAAAGGAATGCCTGACCTGTGACAATAGAAGAATGTTATTACAGTTTGTAAAGAAAAAGCAAAGAAGGGGTGGAATAAATTAGCCACACTGGAAGGGAAGAAAACCCTATACAGCAAATGACCTTGAAATATGGAATTACTGTGACTGTCACCAAGTTGAAGAAAAAGTGTCATGGAGTAGTTGCACGGCCAGTGCAACAGTGGGAGTTGACCTTCTGAAAGCACAGGCAGATATGAGCTGACTAGAGAATTCATTTTATTTCAAAATAAATGAATCCCTAGTACAACATAAAAGACTACAAAAATGAAGCCTTTTTGATAAATCAGTGCATGTTGTTGGTAGATTAGACCATATGCTCACACGAAGGAAAAACATTGCCCAGAACTATTTAAATCACTACTATTACATCAGCCCCAAATTATAAAAATAGCAGAGAACTTTTAACAGATAAAGTCATTCTTAATTAAGCAGAAGAAAATGAATTGCACAAAAACATTATTGCAACAGAAAACAGGCTTTTATTGCCGCC